CTTTATGCCCCTTGTCCAAACTCTCTCTATTCCCCTCTCCCTCCCCCTCCCACCACTGTTAACCCTAGATTTCTTCTCTCCCTCTGAAAGAGTAATAGTTACTCCATTGATTTGTTGCCTAGATGATCTGTCCAATGCCGAAAGGTATGTTCAGGTCCCCCAATATTATCATAGAGCAGATGCTTCTTTTGTCACTCTGGAATGGGCTTTGTGGAGAGAGAGATTCTCTTCTTTTCTTTGGTCTCTGCTGGTGACTTTCCTTTTGTCAGTGCACTCCAGAGGCTGGTGGATCATCTGCATGGTGGTTGTGACATCTAGCCACTTTGGTGGCAGGCATGGTTGCTATGGTGGCTATGGTGGCCCACCCACATGGAGGTGATCTTTTGGACGTGCTCTGTGGCACTGGTGGTGTGCCTGGTTGTGAGGGGGGTTGGCTTTGGCAGTATCCTGGTGGAAACTGGGAGAAGAGCAATGGCAGCTCCTCCTTCTTAAGAATTATAAAGATACACCCCTTGGTAATGTCGCTGAAGGAAACTAAGTGACCACCTACTACATGAGAAAAGTGAGGCCGGGTCTGGTCTCCAGCTCTATGCCTCAGGACCCTGGTCAGGCCCTGAGGCACTGGTGGTGTGCCTGGATGTGGGAGAGAGGTCTGGTTCCTGGTTCCATTCTTCAGGTCCCCAGGTGGGCCCTGAGGCACTGGCATTGTGCCTGGTTGTGGGTGGGGGAGGGTCTAGTCCCTGGCTCCATACCTCATGTCCCTGGTCAGGCCCTGAGGCACTGGCGGTGTGCCTGGTTGTGGGAGGGGGTCTGGTCCTCAGCTCCATGCCTCAGGTTCCTGGTTGGGCCCCAAGGCACTGGCGATGTGCCTGGATGTGAGTGGGGGTCCAGTCCTCGACTCCATGCCTCAGGTCCCCAGGTGGGTCCCAAGGTGCTGGCAGTGTACCTTGGCTGGAACTAACTTTTTGTCCTTTGCTTACTTCTCAAATGGGGGAACTTCCTGTGGGAACCAGTACTTGAACTGTGTGGTTGAGCTAAATTGCTGCTTTGCTGCTGTTTCCCTAGGGAAGGCTTTTTGTGCAGCTCAGGTTGTAGTGGTTGACCTTATAGGTACTTCCAGCTCTCCAGAGACCTGGTGCACCTGGGTTGTGTAGAAACTCTGACCAGGGCCTGAGTTTTTTCATCAAACTGCACCGCATGCAATTCTGCATTCCCAACCAGTCTCCTCTGAGTGATCCTACACTGACTGGGGGGCAGAACGGCTGTCCTTGCTGTGTCCCAGTTTTCTCCCAGTGGGCCTATCTCCCCCACCACCCATGCTGCAAACATTTCTCATGGGATGAGCCATGCACCGGTCCCTTTTGATGACTCACCAGCCTCTGAATGGCTCCTTTTTTTCAGTTCTTGTGGCTCCTTGGTCCTGTGTGGGTCCACGGGAACCTTATTAGTGGTCTTGCTGTCCTGGGGGCCACCAAGGCCCCCTTCTCCCCTGTTGCCTCCAAGCAACTTCATCTGAAGGGCTCAGCTGTGGTTTTTGCTGGCTTCTGCTCTATGAGCTTAACAGCTCCTGCCTTAAAGCGGCTGCCACATGAAATGGTCGGAGCAGTTTTTTTCTGTCTCTCATTGTGGCTTCTCCCACCTTCATGCACTCCATAGGTCTCTCCTCCTCTGCCCCTGAGCTCTAGTGGCCCCAGCTTGGCTGTTGTTGCTTTTCTATAGTTGTAAATTGGTTGATTTGTGGGAGAGAGTGACGCTGGGGACCATCTATTCTGCCATCTTGACTGGGAACTGTCCTTCTAGTCTTATTTGCAAGCTTCGAGGCTTTGCAAGCTTCGAGCCTTGTACCTGTGCTACCTTAACTGAGTCTAGATTATTCTGGTTACTTTTTGGTGGAGTTTGGCAATACTTCAGTCCCTCGCAGGTAACATTGAAACTTCAAATAGTCCAAATGGTTCTTTTTTCCTCATTGTATCTCCATGTAATATCAGAAATCTTCAAAGTGGTAGAAGTATTTTCTGTATCTGTGTATTTGTGTCAAACAAAATATCAATGTGAATGGTAAAATAAAATCACCTTTTTAACTTTTAAATGAATGTCTGTAAACACATTCTGTATCCAAGTAACTCTTAGCACACCAGTCAATCAGAAAATAAATTTAAGTATCCATTGTTTGAAAATGTACTATTTTTTAAAGGTAATTCTTGATTTTTCTTTAAAATAAAGATTTCCATCATTCTGTTGATGACAGTTATGCTTCCTTAGGTTACTTTGGTTCAGAAATATTAATCATGTTATGAAAATAGGTTTTAAAAACATTTTGATGCTTAAGATTTGACAGAATAGGACTGTAGCCATGTGTAATTTAAGAGAATATGCTGCTCAGCAGATCTGTACAAGAATGTAATAATTGAGAGTTGAAAAAACTCAGTACTTGATTAAGTAAGAGTGAAAAGAATTCTTTACCTGGCGATTACCATGTGAATTTCAAGACTTTAATAAGGTACTGCTCATAGGATTTTTAAAATCACTTAGTCAATTGACATGGAGACCATAGTGTACTAGAATATCTTGCTAAATATATAAATTATTGGAAAAGTTCATGTGATTAAACTATTTTCCCCCTTTTATCTGCTTAACTTTTCTTTTGGAAGTAGACTTTAATTTTTAGAGCAATTTTAGGTTCACAACAAAATTAAGCAGAAAGTAGAGTTCCCATATACCACCTGTCCCCTGCTCATGCACAGTCTTTCATCACTATCTATCACCACAATGGTACATTTGTTACAATCAGTGAACCTCCATTCATGCATCATCACCCAGTGTCCATATTTTACTTATGATTCACTCTTGGTATTCTATAGTCTAAGAGTTTTAACAAATGTATCGTAACATGTTTCCACCATTGTAGTATTACACAGGTTTCACTACCCTAAAACTCTGTGCTCTGCCTATTCATTCCTCCCTCTCCCCAGCCTCTGGCAACAACTGATCTTTATACCATCTTAACACTTTTGCTTTTTCCAGAATGTCATATAGTTGGAGTCATAAAATATGTAGCCTTTTCAGATTGGCTTCTTTAACTTAATGATATGCAGTTAAGTTTCCACCATGTCTTTTCTTGCTCAAAAGGTTATTTATTTTTAGCCTGAATAATATTCTATTGTCTGGCCGTATAACAGTTTATTTATCCATTCTCCTGTTGAAGGACATATTGTTTGCTTCCAGATTTTGTCAGTTATGAGTAAAGCTGCCGTAAACATCTGCATGCAGGTTTTTGTGTGGACACAAGTTTTCAGTTGATTTTGGTAAATAATTGCCAAGGAGTACAATTGCTGATAATATGGTAATAGTACATTTAGTTTTGTGAGAAGCTGCCAAACTGTCTTCCAAAGTGGCTATACCATTTTGCATTCCCACCAGCAGCGAAGGAGAGTTCTTATTGCTCCACATTCTTGGCAGTATTTCAAGGTGTTAGTGTTCTGAATTCTGGTCATTCTAATGGTATCTCTCTGCTTTTTAAATTCGTAATTCCTCAATCACATGTGATGTTAAACATCTTTTCATATGATTATATGCCACCTGTTTATCTTCTTTAGTGAGGTTCAGGTTTTTTGTCCATTTTTAAATCAGGTTGTTCGATTTCTTGTTGAGTTTTAAGAGTTCTTCATATATTTCAAATAATAGTTTGTTACCAGATGTGTTGTTTGCAAATATTTTCTTTCTACTTGTCTTATTTTCTTCACGTCGTCTTTCACAGGGCAGAAGTTTTACATTTTAATGAAGTCCATTTGTCAATTATTTCTCTCATGAATAGTGCCCTTGGTGTGGTATCTAAAACATCTTCATTCCCAAGGTCATCCAGATTTTCTCCTATGTTATCTTCTAAGAGTTTGATACTTTTGCATTTTATATTTAGGTCTGTGCTCCATTTTGAGTTAATTTTTGTGAAGGGTATAAGGTCTGTGTCTAGGTCTGTGTTAATTTTTTTGCATGTAGATGACCAGTTACAGTGTGAGTTGTCAAAAAGACTATCTTTACTCCATTTTATTGCCTTTGCTCCTTTGTCAAAGATAAGTTGACTATATTCCTGTTGGTCTGTTTATGGGCTCTATTCCATTTCATGGATCTATCTGCTTTGGAGTAACTCTTGAAGTTGGGTAGTGTCTGTCTTCTAACTTCAGTGTTCTTTAATATTGAGTTGGCTACTCTGGGTCTTTTCCCTCTCCACATAAACTTTATTTATTTGTGTACTTATATATTCGTCTACAGTTCCACATATAAACTTCAGAATCCATTTGTTGATATCCATAAAATAATTTGCAGGGATTTTGATTAGTATTGCATCAAATCTATAGATCAAGTTTGGAAAAACTGACAACTTGACAATATTGAGTCTTCCTATCCATGAATATGGATTACCTCTCTGTATATTTAGTTCTTTAATTTCTTTCGTCAGAGTCTTCTAGTTTTTCTCTGTATTAGTTCATTTCTGTTGCTTATAACAAAATACCTGGAACTGTGTAATTTATAAAGAAAATGAAATTTATTGTTTACAGTTTCTGAGGCTGAGAAATCCAAATCCAGGAAACATCTGGTGAAGGCCTTGGTGGTAGCAGCAGTGACCCAGGGGTCTCACATGGCAGAAGATGGTGGAGCAGAGAGAGAGACTGTTACATGCTCTACTTTTAAAGCCCTCAGAACCATGCCCCTGACCACCATTATTAATCCATTCACTACAACATGTTCCTGCAGTCTAATCACCTCTTCAAGGCCCCACCTTTCAATTATCATAATAGGATTTCCCACCCTTAACAGCTACAGTGGGGATTAAACTTCAATGAGGTTGGGGCTGGAGGGACATCCAATTTGTAGCACCCTTGTATAGATCTTGTACATGTTCTGTTAGATTAATATCTTAAGTTTTTCATTTTGGGGGGAGGTAATATAAATGGAAATGTGTTTTTAATTTCCAATTCCACTTGTTCATTTGTAGTATCTGCCTAACTTTTTAAGCAATTAATGGATGCTTGGAAGTTGACGTACAAATCTATTCAGAAATGTTTTGCCACCTGAGACCTGTGAGGAGGTAAGCTTCATGATCCAATCTGTCATTAGAATTGGGGGAAAATCTGTTACGCCATTTGGTTAATTTTGTTTGTTATTAATTTTCAAATTTTAAAGTCATTTTATATTATGGTAGAAAGCAAGAACAAAAACAAAAAAAAGAAAATTTATATGAGCAGCCACATACTCCAAGAGTCCATTCAGAGCAGAAGGTGAAAAGAATACTTTCTTTCAGAATATCAGTGTAAAAACCTTAAGAGAAATGGCCAGCCCATGGCTCACCTGGGAGAGCATGGCGCTGACAACACCAAGTGTTAAGATCCTCTTACCGGTCATCTTTTAAAAAAAAAAAAACCTTAAGAAAAAGATCAAGTTTCCCCTTAGCACAATTCACTTTATGGTATGGCCAGCCCATGGCTCACCTGGGAGAGCATGGCGCTGACAACACCAAGTGTTAAGATCCTCTTACCGGTCATCTTTTAAAAAAAAAAAAAACCTTAAGAAAAAGATCAAGTTTCCCCTTAGCACAATTCACTTTATGGTATTATGTTCCAAATATGACACAGTTTCTTTTGGGGGTGTTTAGAAGAGGGAAAGAGTATTTATAATGAGAATATAAAAAGGAAGGTTCTGGGGGAAATAGGTACAATGTCTCCTGGCACATAGTAGATATGTAGCAATTGTTCAGTGAGTGAATACAGTTTGGATAGGTGGAAGTGGGGGAGCAGGAAGGCTATATTAGGGCTTAGAAATCATGTAAAAGAAAAGGGGAAAATGAGGAAGATCATGGCGGGCTGGAACTGAGGTTTTCTGTAAGGAGTGATTGGAGATCAAATTGGAAAGATAGATTGGAAAATGGTTATAGAGGGCTTAAATATCAAACTAAAGAGTGGATTTCATTCTGCAGGAACTGAGGGAGACATCACAGGTGTTTGAGTAAGGAATATGATAGGGGGATTTTAGGAAAGCAACCCTGTTAGTGGTATACAATATGGGTAGGGAAAAGAGACAGGAGTGTAGACTAATTAGAGGCTGTGCAGTCCAGTTTTGTGGTGATGATAATTGGTAGCAGAGAAAATGGAAAGAAGAAACGATTTCAGGGGACGCTGTAAAGTAAGAAGTTTCAAGACTAACTGAGAATGGGTGATGGTAGTGAGCTAGTTTGGGTTTTGTACTTTGGCAACATTGAAAAAGGTGGTACCACAATAAAAGAAATAAAGAAGATGGTCCTGGATTGAACTGTCTTAACTGCTTTCTTGCCTTCTGTAACCAGGCTGAGTTTAGAAGGAAAATAATGATCTCTGCTTTTTTTTTAGATACGTAAAATTTAAGATTTCAGGAGAGCTAAGTATCTGTCATACATTTGGAAATGAGAACTGAAACTCAGAATACACAGATTTGTCACTGTCATTTACTTAGACTGCCTCATATTGTGGACTTTTAATTCCTGGTGTATTGTTTCCTTTACTGTTCAAACACCTTTGATAATCCTTAATGTACAGTCTACATATTGACTTTATAAAAGGTTCAAAAACATGTGAAAAACAAAACGAAATGTAGTCTGGAAATACGTCAGTGGTCTCCAGATTGTTTAAAAATCCCTAGAAATGATTCTATAATCTCTACCATTTTAAAAATGTAAAACCTTTCCAAAGATTCAGCACACCTGATGTATGAGAAAAAACATGTGTGCAATGTTTAGATACTTCTTTATAAACTGTTTAGAATGGAAAAGGTAATTTAACATTCAAAAATAGGTGTCATGGAAGTGCTTCCAAAACAATTACAAATAATTTCATTTGGGTTTAAAAACTGTACTTTTAAAAAGCACTGTCATGTGGGTTATGCCAAAATTTAAGAATGAGAACATCAAGTTATCCAACTAGAATAATTTTAGCATGCTAGTAATGAGGAAATGAACTAAAAGACAATTTGCAATTACAAATAATTTCATTTGGGTTTAAAAACTGTACTTTTAAAAAGCACTGTCATGTGGGTTATGCCAAAATTTAAGAATGAGAACATCAGGTTATCCAACTAGAATAATTTTAGCATGCTAGTAATGAGGAAATGAACTAAAAGACAATTTGTATCTCTTTTTAAGTATTATAATTCTCAAAATGTTTTCCACTGCAAAGAAAAAAATTGCGCTATTGGATATTGAGGTTTTTTTCTATCTGAAGAAAATTGTCATTGTTTGGAGTGAAGCCAGTTGACATTTCAAAGTTAACTATTAAGGGGAAATTTTATTTTTATTATTTAATATTTCTCACATTGCATCAGAGGAATAAATAACCACTGTTTTAGAAACCATGAAGCACTCACTGCTTGTTAAAACTAATAGATTTCAGAAAACCACAAACTTTCTGTCTTGTTTCTATGGTATTTTCTGAGCATAGTACTTTTAATTTTATTATCACTTTATACATTGGGGATTTGTGTATCTGTCTATGCCTCAGTGAATAATCAGTCCATATCTTTTTGAAAGGTTATTTCTAGAGAAGATATTTCCACACTGGTTTCTCTACTCAAGAGCATTATCAGGAGCTGAAGCAGTCAATGCCTTGAGGCCTTTCTATTTTGCAGTACATCCAGATTTCTTTGGACAGCACCCCAGAGAAAGGGTAAGATTTTATTTATTTTTTAACCTTTAGTCTACATTTCTGTTCAGTTTATTTACCTTTGATACAATGTCACACAGGGAATTCTATAAGCTTGGGTTATTCTGTCATGGTGATATAATCAGTGCTTTGAACTGAGTTGAAATGTAGACACTGAACATTGAAAATATAACTATTTTTTTATGAAATCTGTCATTGTTTATGCGCACAATAAAGCTGTCGTGTGAAATTTCTAGAGTATTAGTAATCATGTTTTCTGTACCAGTTTTTGAAGTAGAATTGAAAGTTTGAAAGAAAACTTAAGACCTTTATTACCATGATCAATCCTTTCTTTTTAGGAATAATACAAGGAAGATTTTTCAGTGCCCTTGTGATTTTTCCTTATGTTACATGCTGCTGGACCACTTTCTTACATTAGTTAATATGTGCTCAAGGAGTAGAGACTGATATGAAAAATAACTTATGATAAACTTAGGATGGTCAATATTTTTAAACATTAGATAACATATTACAAAGCCAAATGCTTTGGAACTATTTCATTGGTTCCTTTTTAACATTGACACCTAGTTCAACATGAAAAGGAACTTAAATTCTTGAACACTGAAACATTGCTGTATTTTTTTTCCTACTTGCATTGGAAAATAAATCAATTTTGCCTCTTTGCTCTAGGAAAATATTATGATCATTGTATTTCATAAATATGTTGGCTATTCAAAGTCAGAACCTTTCTAAGTAATCAGTACATCAAACCAACAGGAAAATATCCATTACCTTGGGGATGTGTTAATAATTTAAAGTTTTTAGACCCAACATGTATGAAAAATCAAGCCTAGTAATAGTTGAATGTTTTCCCTCCTCTACCAATGTATCTTTTCTAATTAAAACTTCTATGCACTGTAAAGGATTAACTCAGCAAGCTTGGGTTGCTTCAGTCCTACACATTCCAAAGAAAGGCTTGACTTTAGTACTGGCCTTTGATTGACCAGCTGATGGGAAATGAGCTCTGAGCCCTTGGATTGTCCTGCCTGATAGGAATGATTTTGTATGCCTGAGGTCTTGGGCATGGCAGATAAGTTTGAGTTAACAATGTGATTATTGGTGAATACCAGTTTTCCTGTGTCTGAGGCCCTGGGCTACACTGTATCAGTTTGACCTCCGGTGGAGGTGGGGGTTTGGAGACTGAATAGCTAAAGTGAGTGACCTGAGTGACCCCAATAAAACCCTGGACACCAAGACTTAGATGAGCATTCCTGGTTGCATGTATTGTCACACATCATTGCTGGGGGAGCAAGCACTATTCATAAAACTCCACTATGAAATGACAACTGGAAGCTTGCACCTTTTCCCTTTGCTGATTTTTTTGTGTGTGTGTCTTTTTCGTGACCGGTAAGGGGATCGCAACCCTTGGTGTGGTGTCACCCGCACCGCGCTCAGCCAGTGAGCACACCGGCCATTCCTATATAGGATCCGAACCCGTGGCGGGAGCGTCGCTGGGCTCCCAGCCCCGCACTCTCCCGAGTGCGCCATGGGGCCGGCCCCCCCTTTGCTGATTTTAATGTGCATCTTTTTGCTATAATAAACCCTAAACATGAGTATAACAGCTTTTCTGAGTTCTGTGAATCCTTCTAGCAAATCATTGGACCTGAGGGGGATCTTGGGGACCCCTGACACAGTGTGCCTAGAGTTTAATTATTCTGGTAAATTTATATTTTCATTTAATCTTTCAGCTTGTATTTATCGAGTGCCTACTCTGTGCCTAGCCTTTGCACTAGTTGCTGCCTGCTTGGAGCATCCTTCCCTCAATATCCAAGATATGGCTTGTCCTTCACTTCCTCATTGAAGTGTCACTTTTCAGTGAGGCTCTCCTAAACTACCCTATTTAAAATCGCCACCCCCACCTTCCTTCCCAGCATTCCTTCTCCCCCTTACCCTGCGGTACTTTTCCTTTTTTTTGCTTTTTTCCTTTCCACGTACCCTATTTCATTATTTATTAAATTCATTGTTTACTTTTCTCCCATAGTAAAATGCTAGCTCTATGAAAGAGGTTCATTCTTGTCATCATCACAAGTTCCATTCAGTCTCCTTCCCCACTCTTACTTGCCCCTTTTCTAAGTGGAACAGACTTAAGTCCCATCTAGTGATAGCATCAGGCTCAAAGTCCAGGATCTCACAGTGATGCATGGGTTTTTTTTAAATCCTCTTTAATTTGATATACAAAACATTTATAGGTTTCAAAAATCAAAACTAAATACAAAGTTTACTAAGAAGTCTCACTCCTATCCCTATTTCCTTTATCCCATTCCTATTTGCTTCCTGTAGATAATCATTTTTATTAGTTTCTGGGTTGTTCTTCCTGTGTTTCTTTTTGGCAAAAATAGAAACATCTATCAAGAGATATCAAAATATCAAAAAATAATTATGAAGATTTAGTCTTACACTGGCAGAAAATGTACCTCACTTGCTTCCAAGAATCTCATGGCTAAGAACATCATATTATAATTTAACAAACTAACAAAAGGAATAACGATTATTTCTAACTTCAAGTCATGCTGTGTACCTACGTAACAGCCAAGGGTGGCAAGAAGCACAATTATTATTTATGCCTTTCTTCCGTAGAGCTGTTCGTTCAATAAAGGGCATTTTGTTTTGTTTTTTTACTTAACATATCCTTTAAATCACTTTATGTTAATCATAAATATCTACTGTATCACATTCTTTCTCTTCTTTTTGGTTGTTTACTACTCCACTGAATAAATGTATAATTTATTCAACTTCTGTCATATGGATGGGATTTAAGAGCGCATTATAGGGCCGGCCTGGTGGTGCACTGCTACAGTGCACCGCTTGGGAAGTGCGGCAGTGCTCCCGCCGCGGGTTCGGATCCCACATACAGAGCGGCCGCTCACTGGCTGAGTGAGGTGTGGGAGCAACACCGTGGGTTGCGATCCCGTTGCCGGTCCCGGTCCGGTACGGGCGCGACACTGAGGGTTGCGATCCGTTGCCAGTCACGAAAAAAGACAAAAAGGAAAAAAAAAAAAAAAAGAGCGCATTATATTTGCCGTAAAATAAGTTGCAAATATTTTCTCCCAATTGGTTGTCTTTTGACTTTGCTCACTGTGTATGTCTGTGGGGTTTAAGAGTTTTTAAAAAATTTTTTACATAAAAACATACCTCTGTGGTATATTATAGATATTATGCCATTGGATATAATAAATCCCATTACACAATTGAATTTATCAATCATTTTTTACCTTGGGATATTTAGTCATGGGTTTTTCCACACCTAGGTTCATGTTTTCTTGTAGTATTTATGGGGTTACATTTTTTTTACATATAATCCATGTGGAGTTCTTTTTGACACATGTTGTGAGAAGTGAATCCAATTTTATCTTTTACCAAAGAACTATGAAATCCCAATGTTTTATAATACTAAATTATTTAATACACTTAGTAATGTGCTTAAAAGGTCAGATATGATTTCTGTTGTTTCCTTGTTCTGTTTTGTATGTAAATAACCTTAATATTTTTTTCCAGGAAGTCAATGAAAATTCTCTTAAGAGGTTAAGTGCCTACTTAGAAAACCTCCAGAAACCAGGCTTCAAGTCTTTGAAACCAACTCAGCTTACGTTTTATATAAGAGAAACAGACCAGAATTCCTCTGGTGGCCAGGAACCTTTTAGTACTTACGGTACGTTTTTTAAATTTCTTATTATGTCCCTTGCAACACTTCATGTTAAATGTGTTCATTAATTTTGATACTACCTTTAAATCGAAGCTTTGGTCATGGAAAAATAATACCATTTAATTGATTGTTTTCCTAGAATTAGATTCTATTTCTAGCTGCATGTGTTTGAACAAGCAATTTTTTGTGTGTTTAACCTTTTCTGTCTATAAAACTGAAATGTTCCTATTTGTCCTCTTCTATTTCAGTGTTGTTTTGAGTGTTAAACATGTCTACAACTACAGTTTTCTCTTTCTTATTTAGTCCTAAAAATACACTGTGAGGGAGGTAGTATTTGCTCAGTTATACCTTAGTGATATTCAGTGACTTTTCGAAGACCATAGAGGTAGACTGTAGGTCTTTTTTTTTTCTTTTTTGGCAGCTGCCCAGTGCGGGGATCCGAACCCTTTACCTTGGTGTTACCAACACCATGCTCTAACCCACTGAGCTAACCAGCCACACTTTTTTTTTTTTTTTAAGAATATAGGTCTTGAACCCATGTCTTTCAACTCCAACATTATGCTGTTTCTAAAATCTAATCAATCTTAACATACAGCCTTCTTTTCAGTACCTTTTGTCACTGCTTTAGCCATGATCCAGTAATACTTAAAATTAAGGACAAATATTTAGGTAAAGATCCTTAAAGGCCTACTATTTAAATTTATGTCCTTTTGGTGATCCTTGAGGAAATAACTTTATTTTTAGAATGAACTTAAAATAATTTTAAGATTTACTGAGAGCTTTCTGTGAGTTGTGGCTAAAACACTTAGAAAATGTACTATAATTTTTTTGAAAGAAACTATTATAAAACTCAGAATTTGATAGGTCTTTTGAGACCTAACATCTATTTCTAGCTCTGCCAGTGACTGGCTGTGTGACCTTAACTTCTGGGTCTTCATTTATTAAAATGAAAGTGTTGGAGTACTGCATAGAGGCCACTCACATTGAAAATCTCTAATTTATACCTAACGCTCACAAGGCTTTCGAGACCTCAGATGGAAGGAGGAAGAGCTTGACTTAAAAAGTGCTAATAGGATCTTTATGTTGCAGACAACTTCTCACCCAGTATTTCCAGGGACTAGTATTTGATAGTATATTTTCTCCTATCTTTTATTCTCACATGGTTGAATATGGGAGATCAGGAATCACAAATTTCTATCCTTGGCAGTTTCTACACCTACCTCTGATTTAGAGGTTTTTTAAAAAAATAGCCCCTATTCTTCATTATTCAGAGACAAAAAGTCAACTCATAGCCCTTTTATGAAGGAAGAGCTGTATTGAAGAATGCTGTAAATAATAAATTAATAATAATATGTTTATCACTCTAAGTGACATAATTCTGTATGAAAGTGTAAATAATTAGTATTTGTTTTAATCCACTGTGAATTTGCTCTTCTTACTCATGAGTCTTGTAAGCAACTGAGATACGTTGTTTGCTAGTGTAAGACTAAATATTCATAAATATTTTTAATAGACACATGCTGCTGTTGCTCAGGGTCAAGATTAGGCTAGGAATTGAAGAAACATACTTATGCATAGTAGTCTACTTAAGTTTTATGATTTCTCCAGGAGAACAGATGGAATTTATAGAGGTAAATTACATCCTTTACAGTTTTTAAAATAGAAATATTATCACCAGTCTGTTTTTATTTTTATGTGTTTGACAGAATCAAGCTCATTTCTACAGCTACAACTACTACTTCTACTATCACTATCAGCTGGATTTGTCTTAAATATTTAATATACATGGAGTTGAAGAATAAACCAAATTTGAAAGATTAGAGGGAAATTTAGAAAGATTCACACAGGAAATTAGGGACAGAGCTGGTACTAGAACTGAAGTTTCCTTTTTCCTAGTCCAATGTTTTGATTTATATACCACATTATCTATTAATTTTTCTTTTAAACTATTGCTGTTAATCATTTCCACCCTTGCCTTTATGACAAATATTATCACTCTGACAAAGATTTAAAAACACTTTTATTTCTTTAACATTTTTATCTGATCATAATATTAAAATCAATTGGGGTTTTTTTTAGCTTTTATTTCTAGAACACTAGAAGTCATTAATCAGTTTTTCATTGATAAGATAGTAAGTAGTAAGGAAAAATGTTTACCAGTGATTTTCATTACTGAAATTTCATGAGTTGTTTTACATTACTAATACATTGAAATCCATAAAAACCTAGATCATTTTCTTTAGCTGCTCATCTTTTTGGCCCATGAGGAAATAAACTTTATTATTAGAATAAATGCTAAAACAAGTTAAGAATTTACTAAGAGCTTTCTGTGAATTAATGATAAGACAAATAGCTGTAGCCAGTTCTGTCTAAGACAAGACAGAAATCCTCTACTTTCAGTTAATGGTTGATTGAGTTCTTACAAATCAAAAAGAAAACATAATGTATCCCATTACAAGAATTGGCAAAGGCAATGAATATGCAGTTCAGGAAATAATACATATGAATAGCCAATAAGTATGTAAAAATCATTAGCTTTAGTATTCAAATGCAAACTGAAATAATTAGGTACTATTTTTGCCCATTAGGGTTTTTTTTTTTCTTTTCTTTTTTTTTTTCTTACTGATAATACCCATAGGTGGTGAAAATTCATTTTCCCACATTATTGGTCAGTGCATAAATTTGTACAAACTTCCTAGAACACAATTTAGAATTATCTCTCCAAAGCTACAAAATTCATCTTCTCAAATTGTATCTTAAAGAACCAGTAGAGGACCTGTGCAGCTGCCCTTACACTGGATTAAGTAATTAGTGGAATAGATAAATTAAGGTAGAAACTGAGATTTATAACCTGTGCAGTTTGATACTGGCAGTCCTCACCAGATAACAGCCCTTACACTGGATTAAGTAATTAGTGGAATAGATAAATTAAGGTAGAAACTGAGATTTATTTCTTGAATTAGCTAATAAAGGTGAGCTATTTCTTCCAAACTTCCAGTGAAGCAATTTGGGTTTTCCTTTCCTCCTTCACTGATGAGAACAATTCACCTGCCAGTAGTTCTCACCTTACCATCAAATGATTCAACTAAAAAAATCTTTTAGTTTTTATGTCCTGGGTTCTGTAAGTCTGTGGCGAGCAGAATATATATCTCTGAGAATGAATTAAATTGTGGTGTCTGCCATCAGGTGCAAAGACAAGAAAATCCATTTCAGCCTGGTGGAATGTTGAAAAATTGAAAAAATTTGTATGTTCATCACTATTGGAAGTGTTAAATAAATTATGCTAGTTCATTGTGTACACTAATATGTACTGGCTAAAAAGAGTGAGGTTGATCTATATGAGTACATACAAATATGGAAGGGTCATCAAGATTAAGTGACCAAAGCAAGTTCAGAATAATATATCCAGAATGATATCATTTATATATTAAAGAGAAACAACTCAAACTGTGTGGATGTGTGTTCGTGTAAATCCATGTGCATGTATATCACATATAATACACACGCACACGCGCAGAAGCACATAGAAAAGGTCTAGAGCAGTGCTGTCCAAGAGAACTTTCTGCAGTGAGGGAAATGTTCCATATCTGCACCATCTAATACTGCAGACACTAGCTCATGTAGCTGTTGAGCACATGAAATGTGGCCAGTGTGCTGGGGAAGTGAATTTTAAATTTTATTTAATTTTAATTAATTTAAACCTAAATAGCCACACGTGGCTAATACCTACCATAGTGCAAGTCTGGAGAATACATACCTGTTAATAGTAGTTGTATCTACTAAAGGTGTGAGGTTTATTGACATAAAAAGAAACTGAGGCCAAATACATATAGCAAGGATTTATTGAGCCAATATGATATTTGCAACCAGGGAGACACATAGTCAGGTTACCCTGAGGAATGCTTTCCGAAGAGAGCTAGCAGAGCTTAGCATTTTATAATCATAAGAAGGGGGAAGGGTCAAAGGAGAAAGAGAGAAAGACAGACTTGCCTGATTACTTCATCTGGTTTTCTATTGGTTGTACATGACGTATAGATTTGGGATTGTTACTAGGTTACATCCTATGTGCAGAGATGTAGGATAAGGGTAATAAGCATTCTAGGTTATTTTATGGCTTTTTGGTGTCATTAAATCTACTTCTAAGTAAAAAGTGGTCTTCTGATAATGTTTTCCAGGACAGGGGCATGTGATTACTGACTTATCCCAAGTCTCCCAAGGCACTATAATTTAGCTGACCTGGTCAGAGCAGACTTTTTTTTTTTTTTTTAAATTTTATTTTGTCAGTGTACAGTGTGGTTGATTATTGTGTCCCATTACCGAAACCTCCCTCCGTCCTCCCTCTCCCAGATTTTTTTGTTATTAATTGTATGTCTGTTAACAGAAGACTTTTACTATATATAGCTCTAATTTTACAGTAAGCATATGCTTATATAATACTTGTATAATTTTCAAAACTAATTAAAAAAAATTTTTTAAGAAGAGTTATAGTGTTACAGCGTGTGTGTTATAGTGGAGAAAATACTTGGCTTCTTGTCAACACAGACTTAAACCCTTGCTTCATTCTTAACCTCCCCAATCCTGTGTTTCTTCCATTTGATGAGAGATAATGGCACAGCCGGTGGGAATGTTGACTGAAAAGTTAGTAAATTCAGCTACAATCATGATTAACAGCCAGTAAAGAAAAAAAACAAACCCAGTGGATTTTCCTGTTCATGACTTAATCTAGATTACTAACTAGCCCAACATAAAAAACCATTAGAGAATTTTAAATTACTCATTAAAATACTGAGTTACTAGCTAGTTGTGTGGGCAACTATGAGGACATACTTGCTGTCGTAGAGAAAACTCAAAATGGGTTTCTGTGACCACTTAGGCTATGGCCCCTCTCCTCATCGGAACCACTGTCACAATGCAGTGTCTGTCTTTCGGTGCTAGAAACATCATTGGTGGACACCTCATAGGAGAGCTTTTCTATCTCTTAAGAGACCAGATTTATTGGCAGTATTGAAAATATTCTGAATCCCCTTCTTGGACTGGGATGGGTTTGGTCACTGGTGCCAGACTGGAAAAGGGAGCTGATGATTAAAGGAATTCATGAACATAAAAATAGTGTGATATACTTTGGAGAAAGATGATTTGCGGGTAGAACTAATTTTAATCAGTAATGGACTGTTTTGAAAGATTTTGATTTTATATGTTGAATAAAAAAAATATTTTTAAAGTGAAGCATATAATCATCCATATTAATTGTTTGGGGAATTATATTCTCTAGGATTTCGAGCAGTCAAATTTACTTTGCACACCAGAGATCTGCTAAGCACAGTATTATATATTCTCAACTCCTGCAGTTTATCTACTGAACATATCCAAAGCTTGAATACTAATGTGCATTCCCAGTCTCTCAAAGAAGCTAAAAAGATGTCCGACAGGCCCATCAAATGGGACAAGTCTTATTACTCCTTTACTGGATTCAAGGACCCTGAGGAAGACCTTGAACAAGTCTCGAGAATGGAAACAACTCTAACGTATGTAAAAGTTTTTAACTAAACTGTTACTTGTAGTTCATGTTCAAAATTGAAGTCTGGGCCGAGCCCGTGGCGCACTCGGGAGAGTGGGGCTTTGGGAGCGCAGCAGCGCTCCCGCCGCGGGTTCGGATCCTATATAGGGATGACCGGTGCACTCACAGCACTCACTGGCTGAGCGCAGTGCGGCTGGTCTCAAAAAGGACAAAAAAAAAAAAAATTGAAGTCTAATTTTCCAGGAAAAGTAATCCTAGCAATATTAATTATATTACATGTCAGTAACCATTCTGAAAAAGATATTTCATATTTCTTACTTGAAGTTGCCAGGATACTTCCAACTGTATTTAATTTTTTTGTCTTTTGATATCAAACACATGCGGGAGATTGTTTTGTTTTGCTTAAGTTTTAAAAATTCTGTTCGAGTTACCCCTGGTATATGGAGAAAGGCTGTATACCTAAGACTATAAAAATTTTTTAAGCTTCTTCATGTGTTAGGCATTTCCAAGGGAGAGTTCAGTAGTTATGTACTTTAGTGTAAAGTACATAAATAAGAAAAATACAGAGACAGCATTTTAAAATAGCATCTAGAATAGATTATTGAGAAAGAATAATTTGTTTAAATTATAAAAACCGTGTATGAAGCATTTTCTATTATTCAGTATGCGTGGTTTGTAGGTTGCTATTAAGGTTTTTTGAGTAAGTTATTTTTGGACTCCTTAAATGACCACTTCACATTCTGTTCCTGTGGTTGTATCTGAAGAGTCCAGTGGCTTACCATAGGACTCTCACTCACTACAGCATAGTAAATTATCCTTAATTACCAGTAGCTTAGTATCTACTTTGTGGATTATCTGTACTAACTCAGGGATTCCTCGCCTTGTTACCTAGCTAGATATCAAATAAGGCTGAAGAGACAGGAAGGTTGCAGAGTCTGATACAGAAAAGGACATAAGTATTTGTGCATGTGCATAACTGACAAATAAATCACCTTCCTAAATATGTGGATTTTAAGTGCCCAGATTCTCTTCTGTAAACAAAACTAAGATGAAAATGTGGGATTGGGAATGCTAATTTAATGATAGACCAGAAGTAATGAGACAGTAAGAAGTAGGAGTAAAAATTGAAGAAGAGTCATGGAGGGTGTAAAGCTACACGACTACCAACAGGGCTAGGGCTCACAGAGCCCTCGAGCCCATTGTACAGACTGGGTCACAAACCCTTCACACACATGTTTATGAGCTAGACCATAGGAAAAGGTCCTGGGAGCCATGAGTAAAAACAGGAGCTCAATCCTCAGCAACCGTAGCAGTAGCTTACAGGTCTGGCGGTGGCAGTGGCGGCGGCCTTGTGGAGGGTCCCGGGGGCCTTAGCAGCAACAGCCTCCAGCAGCAGTAGTGGCCTCCCCATACCCCCCTGGGGGGCATCCCAGGGGTAGGGGGTGCCGTGGGTCAGAGCCACCCGTCCTTTATGCTTAAGTCCATAACCCAAGACACCTGGGCACACGTTCCCATTTACATCAAATGCTCAGCAAGATTCTGAACATCTGAGGGGCCCTGACCATTTTCCTATATTTTCCCAACAGAGGGATAGAGGTTGATGGATTTTAAATTTGGTTTAGAAAAACAGAAGAGATTAAGAGTTAAGGTTAATTCTACACAGAGGCTACAGTGGGAGTTGAAGTAGATGGTTGTCAACACAAGCTGGAAAAGAGGTTCTTAGCCTTGCATCCACCGGGATGTTTTAAATTTGGTTTAGAAAAACAGAAGAGATTAAGAGTTAAGGTTAATTCTACACAGAGGCTACAGTGGGAGCTGAAGTAGATGGTTGTCAACACAAGCTGGAAAAGAGGTTCTTAGCCTTGCATCCACCGGGATACAGCACATAAAACTTCTGCTTACACCACAGGAGGATATTGCTCTAGTTGTCCTGTACTGTGTCTATGTGAACAGAAGGTTGGGAATGATTGGCCTAAAGGATATAGAAAAAAATGATATTGGATAAGTCAAGGCAAAAAAGGAAAAGTGATAGTTGTTGCACTTTTACTCTCAAGCAAAAGGGCTTAAGAATATGTATTAAAGAGTTTCTGAGAAGAAGTTAGTCTGCGGTTCAGTTGAGTATCTTGTAGAGCACAGTTTTTATCTGGAGCTGGATGTATAGCCATCATGAAAAGATTGTCCCAAGGACCTAGAACTAAGTTAGCCAGCTGGCAAAGTAATGCAAACAGCCAGTTCAACAAGATAAGTGGTATTCAGCTGGGTTCCTTGTCAAAGCCAAGTATTTCTTCTTTTTTTATTATTATTTTGTTTCCTTTTTTTTTTTTAAATTTTTTATTTTTTTGTTGTTTGGTTTGGTTTGGTTTTGGTGACTGGCTGGTACGGGGATCCAAACCCTTAACCTTAGTGTTAATAATACTGTGCTCTAACCACCTGAACTAACCAGTCAGTCCTGTAATTTCTTTATTTGTATGTAGTTCATCCAATAAAATTCCTCAGTCTTTCAAAAAATTAGTGAGTTTTTAAAAGTAGAGGACATATTTTATTCATTTTTATATGTACTAATTTACTTCTTAGATCCATCAAACCCATCCAGTATTTTCATTGAACTGAATTAAAGAACCGTTGAGTAAATGTGAATGTGATGTGCTGAAAGCTCAGTATAGAGAACTTGATTTAATATGGAAATGTGAGGTGGCTTAATACAGGTAGTAGCAATAGAAGTGACTTAATGAATGTAGAGGGCATTTTTTCTTTTAGTACCTCTGTTAATTTCGTTAGTGTTTACTAAAATATATCTGCTATTTTTAGCAAGAGATACATTTTCTTAAGGAGATTTCTGTGTGTAGATGAGTTGCTATGAATTCTTGATTTCCTCCAGGGCATACACTTTGTTGTAAATTCAAGCTCTCATTTTGACAATTATCAGGACAAGCTCAAAAAATGTCATTTTGACTTTTTGTCTATACCCTTAAAGAGGATAACAACTTAAATAAATAGTCACTGTTTTAGAAATTGAAACAGTGGAAATTTATCTTTCCAATTTACTGATCACTGTTATCCCCAATCTAGTTGTCAATAGCTATTTATCTTTACAGACATTGAAGTAAATCCATTATTATCCAGATAGAACCTTTCTTTCTTAGCTTCATAAAGTGAAATTAATAACGATATAGCATTGCAGGAGATAGTTTCGTTTTTTGTGCTTATACTGGGTGCCCTTAGATTATATTTCTTAAGCATTGATTTCTTAGTGACTTACCTGAACCAGGTTATCACACCTCATGGAGTTTGAGTTTAGCTTAAGAAAGTGTAATTGTACAGTAGAAAGTCCAGGCTGAGTAGGGTGAGAGAGGACAGTACTATATCAAACAAAGGCAAGAAAAGGAATACTGCTCTTTGGTCCTTTAGAGTGAATTGCAGTGTAGACCAAATGCCTTTAATCACTATGCCTTAGAGTGCTGATGCTGGAATTTTCGAAAACACCTGCAATAAGTCAGAAGGTTTCGCATCTTTTATTTCCCTAACTTAACTTGATTTCCCTATTCCAACAAGTTCACGTAGGCCCAGAGCCCCGTTAGCCAGTCTTGACCTTTTCCCAAGCATGGATATTGCCCAATTTGAAGGAACCTCTGCTAAGGATTTGTTCAATGTTTTGATTTATGTTCATTTTTCCCAGTAAGAGTTCCCAGAGCTTATATCATAAAGGCCAAAATGATATCTGTATCAGTTTCTCAAATCAACTGATTTTTTAAAAATCTGTAATTATTTTATATATAATTATAAAATTGTTGAACCATTTTAGAGCTTTTAAATCATGTGAATCAAGTGATGGCCTAGTAGGGAGATTTAGGGTGCCTGTTACTCAACTAAAACTTGTTAGCAAGCACAATTATTTTGTCCATATACAGTTTAAGTTTCTATTTTTATTCTTATGTTATTTAATTCATCTTCATTATATATGTAAGTTATAGAGAAGAATCATAAGGAGCACAGGTTGAATATATAGTTCAAAAGTAGCAGAAAAATGATAACTCTGCAAATTTACTTCAAAGTGTTCTTTACCTGATTTACGAATTGCATTCATCCTACCAAAATTCATTCTTGAAAGCAAATTAAGATGGTTCTAATATTTCTGAGCACAGTGTTAAAAAGAGAAAGTATAGTAACATTTATTCATTATAAACTTTAACTGCTTAAATAATTTTGTCTGTTTTTGGTTTGCTGAGAAGTGCAGGCTGAAGTTGTCTCTTAGCATTTAAAAAAAATACAGAAATTATGAAAATAAATCAGTTTGGGGTTTTTTTTGTTTCTTTTTTGGTGTCTGATTGGTATAGGGATCCTAACCTTTGACCTTGGTTTTATCAGCACCACTAGTTGTGTTTTTTAAAACACAGAATGAAAGAATTATCATGTCATATTAAAAGCTCTATTTAATCTCTTTTCATCCAGTAATTACATTTCAATCTACATTTTAGGACATACTACGTAATTTTGAATTTCTTAGCAGATTGTGTTTTATCTTACTTCAAAATCACTTTATTATATATCCTATGGAAGTAATAAAATGAAATTGTACCTGAGGAGTTTTTTAAATTATATACTATTAGAAGAGGAATTTTCCAATCTAAAAATATTAGGAAATGATGTTCTATGTTGTAGATTTTAGTATTTCCATATTTTTGATGTATTATCTGATTATCAAATGTTAAAACAAAAATGTATTTTAATTATGTAATTTGTATTTGGAGCCAACAGGATTCATTTATATCTAAACAAAATAATTTCATGCAAAATGTCTATCCCACTGAAAAAATGTCATTGAACTATAGAAGGACCATTGAAATACTATTCTGTTAGCTATCAAAATACCAGTAAATGTCAGAGTTCCATTTTTTCTATTTGACATTAGCTCAAGTGGTTATATTTGATTTTCAGGGATCTGAGTTCTGAATCAGTCTTAATATCTATGAAATATGTTGGACAACTACAACATTGGAACTATTTTGA